AGAGTGGAAGTCAATTCCTGAATGCCATAAACTTACTGAAATCTGGAAAATCAGTAAGGCCAGATGGAATTCCCTACGAAGCAGTGATAGCAGACGCAGAGATATCAGCAGCGGACATGCTCACACCAAACCACACCACACCACTACTGCGGAAGTTCTCGAAGGAAGGAATGAAGGCAGGAAGGAAGGAAGGAAGGAAGGAAAGGTACCTACCGATTGATTGGAATAAGGACTACTTTGTCAAACACCCGAAGAAGGGAGAATAAAGTGTTTGCATGAACTGGCAAGGAATCATGCTCCATGTCTGTCCACCTGAAGCAAAATATTATGCCACATCATCCCGGAGATACTGAAGGTTGCACTGGATTCGTATCTACGACGGAACAGGCTGGTTGGCTAGCTGACTGGCTGGCTGACTGGCTGGCTGGCTGGCTTCAGGAAGAAGCAAATCATGTATGGATCAAGTTGCAACGCTACACTACGCATCATCATAGAACAGAGCATAAAATGGCAGTCAACTGGATCTCTACCTCAACTTCATCCACTTTGGAAAGGCCTACAACAGAGTCGACTGACAAGCAATTTGGCAACTGCTCCAACACTATGGAATACCACAAACCTTTATCAACCTCATGTAACAACTATATGAAGACGCCACATGCCAAGTGATCCACAATGGAAAGCTTAGTGATGCCTTAGAAGTGGAGACAGGAGTAAGACAAGGCTGCCACCTACTATCACCCATCATCTTCCTGATTACGGTCGACTAGACTGGACTGGATCATGCAGCAAGCAACACACGGTGCTTGATCGATGAATGACTTCAGAGGAAGATTTGGATTTCCCGATGATGAGTGGTGTCGAATGCCGCACAAAATCGAAGTTCTACAGACGAAAACCAAAACGTTGACAGAATAAATGAGACAGCGAAGACGTGAGTTCAAGTGAATGTAGAGAAGACGGAGGTGATGAAGATACCCAACCAACAACAACATCAACAACAAACTCCTGTCACCATCAATAAAGAGAAATCTAAAGGAAGTGGTCTCTTCCACCTACTAACCTAGACATCATCGTTTCTGCTGCAGACGGCACAGGCACAGGCACAGGCACAGATGAGAAGGTCAAAGCCAGGATTTGAAAGACAGCGAGACAGACGTTGACTAACCTGAAGTTGGCGTGGGGATCGACTGCATTGCACTGCACTCAGCATAAAGCGTGAACATGACCCGCATTCTCAACACCACTGTCAAGTCAGTTCTTCTGTGTGATGTTTGAGAGACTTGGAGTGTCACGAAATACATTTGCAACAAACTACAGGTACACAGCATCAACAGCTGCCGCCTATGCTCACTCGATACTGAAGATCAGATCAGATGGTCATAGTAATCAGAATGAGCAACAAGAAACTGTGGCAACGAATCAACGAATCAAGAACCCATCACTCAAGTAATATGCAGAGCGAAGTGGATATGGATTGGATTGTAGATATACTGAGAAGGCCGACTGGGACATCAAGTGCCAGACCAGGTCGTCGAGTGGGATCCGAATTGGAAACGACGAGTTGTGTGTCCGAGGTGAGTGTGACATGAGGGGGATCATGTGGGAAAGAAATGAAAGCTTGTGGTCTGTTGTGGTGCCAGGTTGAAAAGACTGGAGAGAGGAGTATGGAATGGAGGCAAGCTGGTGGTGCTCTGGTAACCCAAGGAAAAAAATAGTGATAATAAATGCAACGAAAATCTCGACCTCCAATGAACAATGAAATATCAGTGCTTGGCTTCGGTGGAGACCTAGTCACGGATTATGAATTTGAAGGTGTGTCAAAAAGATAGTGAGATCCTGCAGGTTACCTTATAATCTGGTGAATAGGAAGTCCATATTAGTGATTAATACTACAGAGACGTTTTCATGGCACACCGTGCTTGATAGCTCTTGTGATTCACAGTTACACGTATTCATACTACATTTCACATTGATTAAAAATACATGGTGTAATGTAAGTTACATTGAGTAACAATTGATTCTTTTGTAATTTGTTTAAGAAAATGAACGAAGTGTAGAAGTGAATTTAATGATTTTCCAGATAAGGACTTCTGAAGTGCGATAAATATGACTGCTCAAATATTTTCAATGAATTATTCATATCATGTACCATAATCAAATAGAATTATGTTTGTTACAGTTTGCTTAGTGGCGGCCAGCAGCGGAAGCCTTGATGCGTGTTTCCCCGATATTTTGGATTCATAAATAAGATTTACCTGGATCCTAGTGAATGACAGCATTCCCACCGAAACTTGAACGAAGAAAATGATAACGTTTTGAAATTATTTTGCATGACAAATATGAATCTAGTGGGTGTATTCAATAAATGGACATTGGTATGAAGGTTCAGGACAAATCCTTCACTGTGAATGGTTAACTTAAATGCAAGTTCATCTCCAACAAAAATCCTATGGCATGTCTGCTCATTGCAAAAGGATCATTTTCTAAATAACTGAGTCTCATTTGAGAGTTGAAGGACTGGTGGTGCATCTAGGGAAATTACGATAAACGGACAGCTTGGTATCACGCATTACTACGATAGCTAAATAAAACCCTCGGTAATTAAACAGAATTTAAGGCCTGGTCATCATAGGGGTCTCGTAGCTCAGTTAGTAGAGAATTTGATCGGTAATCCAGAGGCCACTGGTCGCAATCCTGCCGTGACTTAAGATTTCATTTAACCATCAGTCATCACACAGTATAATGATTTACGCCTTCGATATTGTTTCAAAGCGCTTGATGGGCTACATCGCATCTCCATACCGAAAGAAAAATAGGATTTTGTCTTCTTTAGGGAAAAACTTTACGATCTTACTGCTTCTTTAGACTGAAATGTAGAACGTCAATATTTCTTTCAGACGTTTCAGCAGTGAAGTTTTGATACTTTAGATATGCAACTGATCTGGTAAGTCTATATGCCATGAAGTAACATATGTAATAGGTTCTTTCAAATGGTCACATATTTGATTGAGCTAATTGATAAACCAACATCCAGGGACAGCTTTCTGATAAATCACAGTTTTTGACCTCCTAGATACCTTAAAAGCTCAAACGTTTATGTAATAAATAAGGTAACATACTTTTGCAATGAGTCACACTCCTAGTAGAACTAATGCTCCTCAAGATTTCAAAACACTGTTAAGAGGTCATTTTAACTAATAAATTAGTTGTATTTTCTATCAAAATACCATTTTCCCTCATGGAAACATTCTACATGAAGGACAGTATTCCGACCTGAAAACTTATCGATAACTATAAATCACCTATAAAAGTGGCATATATGATTGGGTCCCAGCCAGATATTAACAAAATGGAAACTGTAACATTTCCTATGCATGCTGACTAATAATACCGTACAAGAAGCAATAAAACAAATGAGTTTTGGCTTCATTCAATCATTTTTAAGTGAAATCTTCTGTACAGAAATCATCGTAGTAGTACTATGTTTTGCATACCGTGTTATTGTTCACTTTTTCGGCAAACTATACAATTAAGAAAATCAGCGAGAATTAATAAAGAAATAAATGACAGGTAATACTGAGGAAAAAATTATACATTTCAACAAAATTTAGCTTTAGTGGGTCACCTGTAAAAAGATTAACCATTGCATTAGCATTAATAGTGGACAAATTTAAACAAGATTACAATAACGGAACAGAAACTTAGATTATTAGAATAGTCTAAGAAACAACAAGACGAGGTAAAAAAGAAAAAATGGATAAGACTGCCAAAATAAGTTTGGAGAAAAACTATAAAAACAAGAGTGAACGAGTGAGATAAAAAGAGAAGAAACGAAAGAAGGAGGAAAAAGGGAAAATTTCCTCTGTACATCGATTCAAAAGAGTAACTGAGCCTCGATCCTAGTGCTTAAAATAATATATACAGTGAAAAACAGTTGTTCTGGCAATAGGCATGTTGTGTCGCCAAGTTATATGTACAAAGTAAGATACATCTTGAAGATGGAAAATACATAATTTGGTGATACACACTCGCACAGTAACAGGCATACATAAACCATATACATAATTTAAACCAAGGAAAGATTAGTAGGAGGAATAATCAGTACGGATTTAGCATGCACTGGTATTACTGCCTTACCTGTAACATTATTCGAAAATCTTTTTAGGCATAGGAGTTCGTTTATGTGTGTGAATACGTTTCAAATGAGCTATTGTTATGGGAATAAAGTTTTGTGCATTGTTCAACAATTCCGAGAAAGAAATAATCTTCGCTGTGAAGCTAATTCTGTTAAGAGAAACAACAACAATTTGGCGCAAAAGAAAAGAAAACATAATGGTTACAGAGTAAATGGTGAAAAAGTATAGAGGGAATTAGGTTTATTTGGAAGCAGTTTATTTCTGCAGAAACTAAAATAATGAAGAGGGAAAAATGGTAACATATGTACCATAGAGTTCCAACGTAATTCACACTTCAGCTACCTAGGAAAAGACATAAAATATACACCCTATGAATTTAGTATTTAATAGAACGGGTACAGTATATCGTGAGAATTCACCATAAACTCGAAGTATTTACGATGTGTAGATACATCAGTTTTACAGTAAGATACCCACCACTGTGGTTCAAAACGCAATTATGATTTCAACTAATCGACTGCAACTTATTTATCACCAATTATGCCATTCACCACTACCGTTTATAATATGCTATTAAATTAACAAAACTGTCTTGTTTGTACTTGGGATAAAAGGCCAAAGAAGAAAATATTACTGTTATTTGGAGTGAATATATGGTCATAACAACAATAGGAAAGAAACTGGAATGGAAAATTCAGAATCGACATCACCATTATCATAAGCATTACCACTGTGTCCAGGTGCGTTATCATAACATTACAGAACATGCTTAAAATACGGTTTATTAATATATCATAAATCAAGAAAAATTATGCAACGGTCGCTCATTGTCATTGAACTAATTAGAAATAATCTTCATACTCAATACACTTGAGCGTAGGTTGAACTTGCATGTTCCTCAGGACTTAATGAAACACAGAAAGACGACTGCGGTGAATTTGGTATTGTATGCTCATTTAATAACAGTAATGGTCTCGAGACAACCGTTTGCTTTTCTAAACAGAATGATGTGTTTACTGCATAGTGTTGCTGATTAGATGAATTAAAGTTTTGCTTGAAATTACTGAAATTACCCTTTGAATTTATCGTCATTTCTTCATGTCCTTTACCAATACTGTCAACAGTTTGATTTTGCACTTCATCATCACTACTGTCGAATTCGGAGTAATATATGCTCCTCTCATTTGTAGAGCATTCATTATTTGACTGGAAGATTTGACTGTTATTATCATTAATATTGGTAACAGTAGTGCCCTTGAATTGTTGTTCAGATTCTTCATGCTGCTTTTCCGTTGTCACTGCAAACTGTGATATCAGCTGTATTTTATCATTTTGTACTGGAAAAAGTGAATGAGGAGAGGGACATAATGAAAATGAAAACTCGGAGGTTATTTCATAATGTTCATTGTTCTCCATCAATGAGGAGTGATAATTCAAAGATTTGTCACGATTATGCCCGTCGAGATAATATTTTGGTGCAGGAGGGGGAGGCGATTCTGGAGGTGGTGGTATCATGCGTTTATTTTCATAAGCAAACAACTGAGTTCCTCCCATTTCATTTCTAGGTGGATGTATACCTTGATACTGTTGGCGCTGCGTCGTTAATGCTTTTGAGATGTTCTGCTTAAATGAATTTGCAACGGAAACACTGCTGAGACATGTTGTTGGCAAGTCAACACCAAATTCGTGTGATAGTGTTTCAGTTTCACTCTTCTTCCATTGGTATGACTTATCATCTTCATTGTTAACACTACTTGATGTTCCTGAACTTGATTTATTTCGGACTTCTTGTCTGTGCATAAATTCAGCTATATCTCTTTGACCTAATGGGGAAAACTGAGGACTTCTTTCATTTTCATCACTAATTCCATTGTCAGCTTGAGAATGTGCATTTGCATAATTTACGTACGGAGTCTGCTGAGTTTGAAAATATTGCACTTGGAAATTATGGTGAGGATACTCACTACCTTGGTTTATTGTATTAAATGTATAGGTGGGAGCAGTTATTTTTTCATCAAATTCATAAGTTAATTCACTAGATGATTGACCATTCTCATCGTAGACTCCGTTTTTTGGTACATAAAATGTTGGTGAAGCACAACCTTTTCCATTCGTTCCATTCATTTTCATTGTACTGTGAATTATAGATGCAGTTGCATATGGTGCTACTGTGAGAGGTGAACCGCTGATTGAACTTGAAGTTAATATAGGTTCATTGCAATTTTTTAGATTCTCAATTTGAGCAACTGGTGCTATCAAAGGTAGTCCAGATGGACCTATTAATGTTACGGGAGAAAATGATTGCTCAAAATTAGTATATCCATTGGGTATGCTGACATTTACTTGTGATTGTGGAGTTATGTGAGAATGGTAACTTACGTAAGACGAACGTGAGTTGCATCCATTTGGAAGGTGAACTAAAGTATTTGACCCGGGAAGACATGATGACTTATTTGCATTTGATTAGACTGAATATTTGTATTACTGTTGAAAGCATTTGTTACATTTTCGGCAGTCGCATATAATCCAACGTGATTAGATTCATTTGAAGCACGAGGAGAAATGGACAAGCTTATCAAAGCTGGATTAAATGAATCTAACTGTAGATCATGTGATCCTTTAAGGTTACATTCGTCGTGTGTGTTAGTAGTCACTTTGTATTGATTCAAATTTTGAGCACTTGATGGATAATGTCGCCATCCTACATATTTTCCTGTTTCTACTGATTCAAAACTGTTTTCATTTTCGGTAATCGGTGTTTCTGATCTTAAAAGTGGTTCCATTTGAACGTGATCTTTTTGAGATATATTTGGATTCTTACAAATTTTATTTTCCGTTACCAGGTTACTGCCACTTGTACAGATATTGCTAGGACCTTCTACTCCCGAACCGCACTGAGAATTGTTGGTTATCAGCACGTTGCCGGTGGTCTTTCTAAACTTGTAGCGTTGGTGTCTACAGCAAAATGTTATAAGGGTGACAGTAGCACACCATACAAGCAAACTGCATATAATCGTCACAGTAAACCATGGCTGATTTATCACATCTTCGTTATTGTTAATATCTTTATGGTTGGTATTCATGACCTGTAACAGTTTGCCAGTTTGCAAATCAAAGCCCCATCCCACCCCCAAACCCTTCTTGCGTAGACTGGGTCTAAGTTGCATAGGTACACTTCGAACGCCGATTCCTTTACAAGTGACCGCAGCCATTTGCACAAAAAAAATGGTCTTTCCAGTTAGTCCCTTGATTAGTGTCTTACGTTCTGTATAAGATAGATTGAAGTTTTGGTGATTATTTGCATTTTCATCATATACATAAATTATGTAACCCATTAGCAGTCCATTCCAACTACTCACAGGTGGCGGATCCCAAGACAACTCTATTGTTGTGTTAGATATCCATACAGCAAATATTTTTTCAGGTGGTGAGCTAGGAAAACTCTCATATGTCAGTACTGTGAGAGAATTGCTTTCTTGGCCCTCTATATTTCCTGCTATTGGATTCGTTGCATATGCCTTAGCTTTGATTTCGTAACATCGAAAGGCTTCGAGATCACGTAAGAGACTTGATTCTTGATGTGTAATAGCATGGTTAATCTCACCGTACTTATTATCTTTAAGGTAGTGAGTTCTAACATTAGTGATAATCCATGGATTTGAGGTGATGTTACTTATATCTTGATCCTGTTTATTTTTAAGCCCCTCGTATAACTTTTGCATTATTTCAAGACGATATAATGAGTGTGGGTCTGTGACAGCATTAGGTTTTATGCTACAGTACACCGCGTCTCCATTTCTGGTCACTATTTCAGGTGTTTCCGGATAAACAGTATTAAATTTTCTTGAGACGCACTGCATTATAGGCACCTCTCTGTGATAAATAAAATAACCTGTAATCATTGACAGAATCTGGGGAGCCTCTGTCACAGACCAACTAACTCGTACTCTTTTGGGTGACAGTGGATACAAACGTAATGCTGATAATTCAATGTTTTTAATAGATTGAAAAGATTCTGTATCTGATACTTCAACGTCTACTTGATTTAAAACCTCTTCTTTTAGTGTTAAAATGGGGCCTAAAGGAACACTAGCCCAACCAATTCTCCCATGACTCCAGCGTGGCCTGATTAAAAAATAGTAAGTAGTATCTGGTTGCAAACCACCTAACTGGACAGTATGAGCATGCCAGTTTTTTTCAACTACGATCCATCCATCCGTTGGTCGATCAGGTCTGTAAAGCTCCACCCAATAAGTAATTTGGTGTGAATTTATTGAGTGTTCTGGAACAAATTCCTGCGGATTAATTGTTGGAAATGATGGGTCCCAGACAAGTATGACAGTTGTTGATGTGACATTAATAGCCTTCAGATTTCGAGGTGGAGGGAGAGGATTTTCACCACCCATAATGTTAGTTACTTCTGATCCGGGAGGTACGATATACAGATAGGAAGTCCAGTTAGACTGCAAAGTGAATGACATCAAACTACCATCCATATACGGTTTATTGTCAGACTTTGCGAAGCATGTATAGTTTCCTGAGTCCTCCTCCTGCACATCTACTATGTGAAGACTGCCTCCTGGAAGCAGTGTATATCGTCGGTCACCGGAAAAGCTAGAAGAGTCCACATACTCTTCGCTGAAACCGGTCTTAGTAGATCTTTGCCATCCAACAGACCAGTCGTACATTTCTGCATAGTCGGAACTTGGTTGTATTGATTCAGAAAAGTCTCTACTTATGCCTAACTCACAGTTCAGAGTGACTGATTCACCCACTGTTCGTGTCTGATTTGCAGGAGGAAGTCCAATGATAGGTGCGAGCCAGTAGAATTTGGACAGCATGTGATGTCTCGCCTCATTTTCGGATGACTGCGAATAAGTAATTCTTGATAGATCTGACTTTTTCTTCGGTAAACTATTTACATGAAGTGTAGCACTTGTATGTATTGTATCTATGGATGAATGAGCTGTACATTGATACTTTCCAGAATCTCTTTGTCGAATATCTCTTACTTCTAAGCTTCCATCCGGAGTTAAATAAAGCTTACCGTTATAAAATCCATTTATCGTCTGATCACCAGGAAAAATCGGAGTTTTATCTGGTAGCTCCCAATAAATTGCTGGCATTGGATGTCCAGTCGCAATACAATGAAAAACAGCTGTTTCTCCCTCATTAAGAGTTAAGTCGTCTGGAGTAACAGAAAATGCAGGTGGTGTATCAACTGTCACTGTGGCATCTGCTTCTATTCCTCCAGGAGCTGTACAAATATAAGTACCGGCATCTGAAACCTGCACGTTCTTGATAAGTAGATAACTTTCAGTTAATTCTGCTCGATTTGAATCGATCGGGTTTTCTCCGGGACCACGCTTCCACTTGACCACATGATTTCCTTCAACTCTACATTTTAACTTCACATCACGTCCCTTTTTAACTCTCACATCAACTGGAGTTTCCAAAAACCGAGTCCGGGGTTTAACCAGCAAGTAAGCAGTAGGAGAAATTTGTTCGCCGGCTATATTAGAAGCCACACAAGTGTACTTCCCTGTACTAGAAAGTCCAACGGGATCAATATGTAAACTTCCATCAGCTGATATTTTAGTATTAGAATTTTTTTCATTTATGACAGAAAAATTGTTCACCAACTGTGCTGCGTTTTGAGCAATAAGGAAGTTCTTATTCCTTAACCAGTGGACCTTTACTTCAGGTAAGCCCATAGGAGGCGAACACTCCATCACAACTCTGTCACCCTCATGAACAGTTTTATCGACTGGTATCTGCTGAAACTGTGAGTTTATGTAAGCTGAACCTCCACGAACTGGTGGTTTGCTGACTACCCATCCCACTGCGTTAGATGCATTGCAGTAAAATGAATATAATTTACCCCTCTCAGGACTGGAAATTAGAAGTTTACCATAATGCTGATTTACATGTATACCAGAGGTTGCCCCACTACTTGGTACACGATCAATAACTTGCTGTCCAGTGCTGGCATCATACCATACAACTTGAGGCTTAGGATATCCACTAGCTTGACAAGTGAATTCTAGTACACCATCTGTCGAAAATACATCTGAAGGAGAATGTATTATTGTTGGCTTTGTGAAATTAGTTGAATATTTGATTTCAGTTGTGTACACGTGTAATCCTGTGCAGAAATGAATGATAAGAATCAAGTAAAGTTTCACTGGCTCAGACATTTTGTTTGGAATGACTTCGAAGGATTGATGAATTGATGAGTTTCAATCATGTAATAAGTTAAAATTTCGCCCAAGATCTTAACTTTTAGTACCTGAATAAAATAAATAGAAAAGAATATTTTTACGTTTTAAAAAATTAAAATAATTATTTCGCAATAAGGTTATCACCAGAATCAACTCAGTTATGTATCAGGCAACAAGAAGCATACTTAGGTTATAAGTGACTGAAGATAAATGTAATCATACGGAAATAATGAGACAATTGTATGAAAATTGTGTGGTGAAAAAGTAATTTAGTCAGTCATCGTGTGGCAGATGTCCCACTTGGAAGCTAGATTTGAATATGGTAAGCTTATAGTTCCAGTTTCAACGACAAAACTACTGACTCTTAGACTAATCTTAGATTTTAGTTTTCTTGTATCACGGACTATGTGGGTTAAAGTTCGACACTATAACTGATGAGACCTGAGACGTTGGAAATCAAAACTACTTTCTGTTAGTGTACAACGCAGTCTCAATGTCGTCTGGATTCATATTTATTAAGAGGAAAGACACTACTTAATTCCTGTTTGTTACTTTATTAACTGACATGAGTAATTACGTGGTTTACCGTTTCAAAAATATAAGTGAACGTATTCAGCGCTATTTAAATATATTATGTGATTATAATAACTATAAATTATCCTACAAGTACAATAAAATGTGGTCTTTATAACTGCTTGTCTACCCAGAAATATTTGCTTTGTTACCGAAGCTTGTAAATTCTATTATCGATGTTTTATCATCGTGGATATTTATGTCTTCTTATCTTCAGTCAGATTCAACTTTTATGCGGAAATTTCAGAAAACGCTATGTGTGAACTTTTTAGACAGTGAAAGACAAATATAACAGTCTACAGGAAAGTAAAAAAGAAAAGACTTCATTGCCTCACCCTAGTGATTATCATTAAGAAAACCTGTTTAAAACGATCACTAGTTGATCTAATTTCAGATATGTAGGTTAACAATAATTTTTAAAACTGAATTGATTCTAAAAGCTGAAACCATTGAGGTAACCAATTGGAGACCTGTATTCTGTGATAAACTATCTTTCCGGCTGCAATAAATAAAACCAAGTATTTGTTGCAGCCATTTCCAGGGAGTCCTTTAAACCCACTCTATCATTGTCACCGTCCAGTGAAAACGAATCTACATTGAATGAATTAATTTTACTTAAGCTTTTCGAACAAAAAAGCTCATGAAGCACAAGTACTGTTTGATGGAGCAATCAGAGAAAACCGTCAACAAAAGTTGATGTTTACATGCCGATTCGCGTTTCCTAACAAACCAAAAGATGGTCTTTTCCAGATAATACACGAAATGAATGTATGGTACTTTGAAAAAATAGAGTGTTCATATCAATAATTTCACTGTTGTAAGAAATAACATTTCTGTTTAGACTGCAGTTGAAAAGCCTAATTTTAATTTAGACCATCATTTCAAACTACAGTACTCTTGGTAAAATGTCCTTTTCGTATTTCAAGTCTGGAATCTGCAATTTCCTTGATAATCATTTTTGTAGAAAATAAACTTACTTATGGAAATAAAATAAATCTTACTTACGTAAGCCCTTTCATTTGCAGTCTCTACAGATCATGCAAAAGACACCACTCTACTTTTAGCATCCAACATCACTTACTTTTCCCTATGCTTTTATTGGGCTAGAAAGATATAAAAACAATTATTATCTTTATTACTATAATCATATTAATTTCAAAGGTTACCATCAAATATTATTCCATTAACAGAAGTTTCTTAACCAACGTCTCAAGCCAATATAAGTTTAAAGCTTGGACATTGTGGTGGAATACAATTCTATTTAGGTCGATTTATTAGATGCATCAAACAGTGAAGCACTGGTATCTATCAAAGTTAAAGATAAAATTTATTATCCATTTGAAAATCAATATGAATGTTTCGCTTACAGGTATGAGCTATATAGTTTTAGTTTTCATTCACTCTGTGTTCGTGATATCAGTAATAATAAAATTTCTCTAATACCTAGAACATTTTCTGTTCGTTCGACAAACAAAGATTAGAATTATGCCTTCTGTCTGTGAAGATCAGAACTGTAACCATGCCTCGAATTGTGAAGTTATGTGAGTATGACTATAATCATGAAGAATAATTCCTCCTGAAGACCTTATTTAGTAAATAATAGTGTTTTGAATTGTGATACATCCAGGAGACCAACTAAAATGAAAGCTAAAATGAACAAAGAAGTTCCTCATCGAAAACGAGAAACTGACTTGCATATATATTTTACTTTGCACTATTTCAACAAATCTCTTTTGAAACCGAGTTTAGAAAACATGTTAATTACATTCGTGCTTACATAAATAAGCTAAAAATAATGCAGGTGTGTAACACCAGTCAACAAGATCATTCGAGTAAAGACTAGTCAGTTAAGTATGAGGATTAAAATAAGTTTGACGGATAGTAAACACAGTAAACCCAAATCTGTAGTAGAATTTTTCAAATATGAATGTTTTATTCTAAAACATCTAAAGGTTGAATGACTTCGCCAAGATATATCTAAATACTGTACACAATCTTTAAATAAAAGACGTAGATACTCAACTCAGTCAGTGGGCCACGTATTATTTGTATGCTCTAATCATCATTGAAAAAATCTCACTGCTGGAGTTACTGTCTGCTGGTTATTGTGAATAAAACTTATTCAATAAAAACAACAAGGAATTATAAGTATACCGATTATCATTATTATTTTCCCTTTGAGTTCCAGTAGAATGTAGGGCATCACTAGCTTGTCTCCATTCCATACTCCTCTCTCCAGTCTTTTCAACCTGGCACCACAACAGACCACAAGCTTTCATTTCTTTCCCACATGATCCCCCTCATGTCACACTCACCTCGGACACACAACTCGTCGTTTCCAATTCGGATCCCACTCGACGACCTGGTCTGGCACTTGATGTCCCAGTCGGCCTTCTCAGTATATCTACAATCCAATCCACATCCACTTCCCTCTGCATATTACTTGAGTGATGGGTTCTTGATTCGTTGATTCGTTGCCACAGTTTCTTGTTGCTCATTCTGATTACTATGACCATCTGATCTGATCTTCAGTATCGAGTGAGCATAGGCGGCAGCTGTTGATGCTGTGTACCTGTAGTTTGTTGCAAATGTATTTCGTGACACACCAAGTCTCTCAAACATCACACAGAAGAACTGACTTGACAGTGGTGTTGAGAATGCGGGTCATGTTCACGCTTTATGCTGAGTGCAGTGCAATGCAGTCGATCCCCACGCCAACTTCAGGTTAGTCAACGTCTGTCTCGCTGTCTTTCAAATCCTGGCTTTGACCTTCTCATCTGTGCCTGTGCCTGTGCCTGTGCCGTCTGCAGCAGAAACGATGATGTCTAGGTTAGTAGGTGGAAGAGACTACTTCCTTTAGATTTCTCTTTATTGATGGTGACAGGAGTTTGTTGTTGATGTTGTTGTTGGTTGGGTATCTTCATCACCTCCGTCTTCTCTACATTCACTTGAACTCACGTCTTCGCTGTCTCATTTATTCTGTCAGCGTTTTGGTTTTCGTCTGTAGAACTTCGATTTTGTGCGGCATTCGACACCACTCATCATCGGGGAAATCCAAATCTTCCTCTGAAGTCATTCATCGATCAAGCACCGTGTGTTGCTCGCTGCATGATCCAGTCCAGTCTAGTCGACCGTAATCAGGAAGATGATGGGTGATAGTAGGTGGCAGCCTTGTCTTACTCCTGTCTCCACTTCTAAGGCATCACTAAGCTTTCCATTGTGGATCACTTGGCATGTGGCGTCTTCATATAGTTGTTACATGAGGTTGATAAAGGTTTGTGGTATTCCATAGTGTTGGAGCAGTTGCCAAATTGCTTGTCAGTCGACTCTGTTGTAGGCCTTTCCAAAGTGGATGAAGTTGAGGTAGAGATCCAGTTGACTGCCATTTTATGCTCTGTTCTATGATGATGCGTAGTGTAGCGTTGCAATTTGATCCATATTTGATTTGCTTCTTCCTGAAGCCAGCCAGCCAGCCAGCTAGCCAGCCTGTTGCGGTCGTAGTTTCGAATCCAGTGCAACGTTCAGTATCTCCGGGATGATGTGGCATAATATTTTGCTTCAGGTGGACAGTCATGTAGAATGACTCCGCGCTTGTTCTTGCACTGGCTTATGTCTCCTCTGTTTGTTAGTTTGAGAAGGTAGCCTTTATTCCAATCAATCGGTAGGTACCTTTCCTTTCTTCTAAACCATCTGCAACAGTGGTGCTGTGTGAGGATGCCTGCTGTTGTCTCTGTGTCTAAAGTACAGCAATAATAGTAATAATTACTAGTTACTGTACAAGAAGTGGCTATCGCTCCTCCGTGGCATAGTGGGTGACAGCTTGGTATTTGAAGCGATGGATACGAGGTTTGAGTCTCAGTGGGAACATCATCACTCACCGGGATTAATGTTCATCCAGCTGACGAGTCCGAAATAGGATTATATGTGCGCCCTAGATTCCTATGCTAGGCACAAAGAACCAAATAGCAATGATATTATAACCCTAAAATACTCGATAGTATTTTGGTGCAACACGAGTATTATAACGTGCCTGATCGTTGTTAGATTCAACAGTTTAATATTACTTCTTCCGTTTGAATTTCCGTCGTATTAAGATATTCATACTACGAATCTTACTCTGTAGCACCGCCAAATTTATTATATTTGCTAAAAACTGTGAACAGTTGTTAACTTGAAGAACTGATGTTTCTATGGAATGTTAAGTTGTGTAACAACAAGTGTTCCATGAAAATGCATTTAAATCGAAAAGGTGGGAATTTTTGAGACATTTAGGGAAAAAAAGAAATATAAGTCCGATAAATAACAAAATGTTTGTACTTTAGGTGATTTTAATCCAAAATGTACATTTGGTGATAAAGCATTTTCTACTGTTTAATACAGAAAGCGAATTTGTGTTCTTCATG